GAGACTCATTCAAGGAGAAGAGGGCTATTGATGGCTACTAACCAACTGGAGGCAGCGACACTTCTGAATATCAGTGGCGGCAAACTGCAGGAGTGGAGAGGGCTTCCGCGCTTGAATCCACAGGAATCTGGTTGGCCACTGTGGGAACAGGATGCTGGACTAGATCAGGGGTCAGCAGACTTTTTCAGCAGGGGGCCAGTCCACTGTCCCTCAGACCTTGTGGGGGCCGGACTATATTTTGAAGAAAAAAAGAACGAATTCCTATGCCCCACAAATAACCCAGAGATGCATTTTAAAGAAAAGGACACATTCTACTCATGTAAAAACATGCTGATTCCCGGACCGTCCGCGGGCTGGATTGGGAAGGCGATTCAGCCGGATCAGGCCCCCGGGCCTTAGTTTGCCTACTCATGGGCTAGAAGTGGTTCTCAACCTGTGGGTCCCCAGATGTTGTTGGACTACAACTCCCATCATCCCTGAGCTCTGGCCTTGCTAGCTAGGGGTGATGGGAGTTGTAGTTCAACAACATCTGGGGACCCACAGGTTGAGAAACATAGCTGTCAACTTTCAGATTTGAAATTAAGGGATCAGCAGCCTCGAAATAAGGGATCAGCAGCCTCACCTGTTCTAGGGACAGTCTACGGGACATCTAACAATCTGGGATAGCAGTGGGAAGCAGTGCTGGAGTAAAGGAATTTCCCGCAAAAAAAGGGAAGGTTGACAGCTATGGTTCAGAAAGCCTGAGCTAAGATGGACTTCCTTTGGTGTGAGCCAGCAATGCCTGATGTTCTTAAGTGCCTGGCTCAGTATAAAGCAGTTTCCACTCATTCCTGCGGCCCCAACCAGCAGCCTCAGGCTAGGAATTCTGACTTTGGCTGCAAAAAGGAAGCACAGAGGCTTCTCTGCAAATCAGCGCTGGTGTGAATATCTCTCCCCTCCCCAAATTCGGTCTTATGAAAGGCCATCCCACTCCAAGCCCCGCTGCTGTCCGATTCCACACGCAGCTGGGACGAGATCAGCACCGGCCCCTACGAAAGGCCTCGCTTCAACCCCTCCTTGAGCATCTTCGCGTATCGGGCGGCCATCTGTTCGCGTGTGTTTATCCCCTTTCACTTATCCTCTTTATCGCACTCTTTCCCTTGTGGTGACTTGTGGCCACCGGCGAACTCACGTGATCACCCCATCAGTCACTGGCTGTCTCGATTCCGGGCTGGGATCATAATCTCCCTTTGTTGAGCTGACACAGAGCATCAGGGGGCACAACTGGAGCATCCTCTTGCCTTGAGACAGTAAATATCCCTACAAAGCCACCTGCCTTTGGGCCTGAGGAGGAATTGAGCTCGCTCTCCCTGACGTTACGAAGCTGTTTTCTCCCAGACAGACCCAGATATACCTTGAGATGCTGCCAAGGGCAGAATCTGGACCGTCTGTACGCAAAGCAGGTGCTCTCCTGCTAGCCCTCATGGTTCTAAATTCCTCGGGTACAAACACAATGGTCATTTTGCGCAAGAAAATGCAACAGGTTTTTAAGCATGGAGCAGGGAGACTGGAGTGGGATGCGGGTGGCGCTGTGGGTTAAACCACAGAGCCTAGGACTTGCTGATCAGAAGGTTGGCGGTTCAAATCCCCGCAACGGGGTGAGTTCCCGTTGCTTGGTCCCTGCTCCTGCCAACCTAGCAGTTCGAAAGCACGTCAAAGTGCAAGTAGATAAATAGGTACCGCTCTGGCGGGAAGGTAAACTGCGTTTCCGTGTGTTGCTCTGGTTCGCCAGAAGCGGCTTAGTCCTGCTGGCCACATGACCCGGAAGCTGTACGCCGGCTCCCTCGGCCAATAAAGCGAGATGAGCGCCGCAACCCCAGAGTCGGTCATGACTGGACCTAATGGTCAGGGGTCTTTTTTTTAAAAAAAGGAGACTGGAAGACAGCTACAGCTTTTCTGAGTAACTGCTTTTTATAGGATAGGATAGGATAGGATAGGATAGGGTGCACTGGGGGTGAGCTTAGGGGACCAAGGGGATGGTGGACAAAAAAGTTTGGGATCCACTGCTTGTGATGCTTTTGGAAAAGCGTCCTGTCAACGTACCTGCTCTCCCCCCTCCAGCCCAAACAGAATGCAAACAGCTCTGTTTCCTATTGATTTGTATAAAACAGCAGACCAGCCTTGCAAACAAGACTTCCTCTCACCCCACCCGAATTGCACAAACATTGCAGCAGAGTGGAGAAGCGCCCCCCCCCCCGCCACGGCCTTTAATATTTTGTATAAAAAGCCAAGGAAACAAAACTCAAGCCCGTCTCATCAGGGGACTGGACTCGCGAAGCACAGAGCTCTCTTTCATTGCTGGACTTTTCTGTGTCCCCAGAAATGATAAACAATCCTTTTGTCTGGGACATAAACAACGGCTGGGGGAGAACAAAGCCGGTGATTCACTTTGCGGGTCAGCTGAGGCGCCCATGTGACCGCTCCCACCCTAGCTTCCTGCTCCCACTGAAGTGAGGCTGATGCCGACCGAAGCAGAGAGAGAGAGAGCGAGGGTTCACTCTGAAGGCTCTCCGGGGGGCTTAGCCTGGGGATCAGGACGGATTGGTCAGTGTCAGGAACGTCCTGGATACGGGGAAGCAATGGGCCTTCCCATCACCCCTGGAGAAGTGCAACCAGGACACCTTACATGTCCATGATGCATTGATTAATTGCAATTATTTTTAAATGGGGTAGGGCTGTCAGGTTACAGCATCCTGGAGGGGAAGGCTATGTAGGTGGAGACTGCAGGAAGGGAGAGAGTACTCTTGCACTCAGGTACCTCTTGGGGTACCAACTGGGCGGCCGCTGTGAGAACAGGATGCGGGACTACCATATTTTTCGCTCCACAGGGCGCACTGGACCATAGGGTGCACCTAGTTTTTAGGGGGGGAAATAAAGAAAAAAATTAGGCTGGCCCATGAGCTGACCACGTTGTTCCAAACCAACACAGGACCAGGTGCTTGAAAACAACACGGCCCTTACCTGGCCAAGAAAGTCGAAACAGCCTATAAACTTGAAAACGAAAGCTGTACCCGTGCAGTGGAACGTACAACTTTAAGACGATCACTTTATAAAATAGATATTGTAAACAGTGGCCAGTGGTTATGTCTCCCTTCACAATGCACCTTGGCCAACTAACGTGTGTAAACGCATCGTTTGGCGGTGATACCAAACACGCTGGATTATTTCCAGACCAATGGTCCACATGCCCTAAAGCGGGATAAAATATACAGCTTACACTGGGCATGTGTCTCTTCCATGACCACATCTCCCAGGCAGGGCTGGGAATGTCTCCTGCCTGAAACTCTGCTACCAGTCAGTGTAGACAGTACTGAACTAGATGGATCCATGCTCTGACTCAATATAAAGCAGTTTCCTAGGGCTATGTGTTGGAGGAGAGGGAGCCGAGGATCCAAGCGTTCTTGTTTTGTCTGTACAGTGGTACCTCAGGTTAAGTACTTAATTCATTCCGGAGGTCCGTTCTTAACCTGAAACTGTTCTTAACCTGAAGCACCACTTTAGCTAATGGGGCCTCCTGCTGCCGCCGCGCCGCCGGAGCACGATTTCTGTTCTCATCCTGAAGCAAAGTTCTTCACCTGAAGCACTATTTCTGGGTTAGCGGAGTCTGTAACCTGAAGCGTATGTAACCTGAAGCGTATGTAACCCGAGGTACCACTGTATATTTCTTCAAAATAACCCACCGCGTCTTCGGCTGCGGGTCTTTGAATGCCACAAAAACAGAACCCCGAACGTGATGGGCGATTCCGCCACAGATGTCATGGGAGGCTTCAGGCGTGCAGAGAATCCAGAGCATTCCTGGCTTTTATCATCTAATCCCCGCGGCTGGAGGACCAGCCGGCAGAATGGCCTCGTCTGCCCGGGGCGTATTGATTTCTTCCCCTGCTGCCGACTTTCTATAATGGCTCAGAGGAGGCCCTCTGAGGCTAGTCAGGATTTATCACTCTGGCGCTGAGCAGGAAAGGGAGAGATCACTTGCTCCCAGGGGGAGCGGGCAGGCCTGCTGAAAGCACCAGCCCCCAAAACACTTCCACCTTCCTCTACGCTTTCCCTACGACTCCTCAAGACGACCTGCTTATTGAGCATTCATTCTGACTTGTTTGCACAAAGCTTACGCAGTGGTTAGACTGTGTCTGGTCTTTGTTTTTCCCCCTGTTCGGCTTGCAGGATGTTCCCATTAGTCATTCATCCCACACTTTCATTCTGCTCCACTTTCCTAACCCCGGAAAGTCTGGCTTTCTTTTTTTTAAAGTGCATCTGTTGGCAATATGGCAGAAGTGGGCATCCTTAGGCCCTGGAGCTGGATGTGGCCTTCCAGGTTTCTCTCGGGACTCCTCCCAGCTACCCCCCTTTCCCCAGCCCCACCTGCCCGGTTTTTCACCCTCCTTGAGCATTTCTGTCTCGCTGAATTGTTTCACTGAACTCTGATGATGCCCCTTTGCTTGCCTGGGTGGGGGATAGAGAGGGGTGTTCGAGCGTAGAGACTAGCTCACTGCAGAAAGGTAAAATTAGAATCCGTTGCTCCACCAACTTTTTGCCTCTGGCTCCACTCACTGCTGGGAATGTGTTACACTAAGGTGATAGAGTGCTTTTATCTGCTTCAATTACACAAACCTACATTCCCAGAGGGACGCGGGTGGCGCTGTGGGTTAAACCACAGAGCCTAGGACTTGCCAATCAGAAGGTCGGCGGTTCGAATCCCCACGACGGGGTGAGCTACCATTGCTCAGTCCCTGATCCTGCCAACCTAGCAGTTCGAAAGCACATCGAAGTGCAAGTAGATAAATAGGTACCGCTCCGGCGGGAAGGTAAACGGCGTTTCCGTGCACTGCTCTGGTTTGCCAGAAGCGGCTTAGTCATGCTGGCCACATGACCCGGAAGCTGTCTGTGGACAAATGCTGGCTCCCTCGGCCTATAGAGCGAGATGAGAGCACAACCCCAGAGACGGTCACGACTGGACCTAATGGTCAGGGGCCCCTTCACCTTTACCTTACATTTCCAGAACATGCTTGAATCCCTCCTGCAAACATCCTGACCTCCTGGAAGAGACCCAAAAACACTTGACCTTCTGCAGCAGCTCGCCAGGTGTTTTTTGGGAAAAGGGTTGCTGCAGCATGAAATGTCATCGCTGGTCCTGTTGGGAGAATCAACACAGAAGATGCAGGACTCGGGAACAGAGAAAAGAGCTCATCAGGCTAGCCCATGAGGGCAAATTGGGCACTGTCCCATTGCGAGGAGGGAGCCGGCAATAAATCACACAGTGCAAGTTGGAGTTGCAAAACCACAATCTGCACGGGAATGTAGGGCCTAATGCGCACAGCAACTCATCTCCAGGAAGGCTTACCCCCTGAAGGAGTTGCTGAGACCGAAGATCCCCACAGCTAAGTCCCCACCTCTCCAGGGTTTTTTAAAAGCAATCTGAGACTGCGCCTGCATGCTGCCAACCTCTCCTCTGCCCTTTTCACGCCTCTTCTGGTTCTGGGAGACAAACAGGGAGGGGAACTTGTGGCAGCAGGAGGGGGAGACATTGCCTGACAGTGAAGGTGGAGCATAGTCATTGCGGCTGGCAGCCCCTTTGCAGCTGGTGTAGCATGGTGTCTAAGAAGAGTAAGCTGGGAACCAGGAAGCTGTTGGTTCAAATCTCACCAAGCAACTCTTGTTTGAGAGCCAGTGGTTAGAGAGTTGGACCTAGGAGATCAAGGTTCGAATGCCCCCCTCTCAGCCACTGGGTGTGACCTTGAGCCAACCATTGCCTCTCAACCCAACCTACCTCACAGGGTTGTTGTGGGGATTAAACGAGGATGGAGAGAACCATGCATGTATGCTACCTTGAGCTCCTTGGGGGAAAAGGTGGGATAGGAATGCAATAAAGAAATAAGATATAGGATTGCTTTTCTGGGTATTTGGGGCACCGACGTAACTGCGCAGAGGCTAACATGAGCCTTCAAGAGCCCCCAAGAACGAAAGAGCCCCCAGCAAATCTGAGCAAACGCTGTAGGGCTTCAAACCCAGAGGCTGGAAGAGCAATCTCAAATTCCAGCACGGCTGGCTCCAGGCCCCGCGACTTTCCTTTAAGAAGCTTCATCCATCCTCCTTGCCTTTGGAAAAGATAACGCAAACGCCACAAGCTGACCCCTGTGCATAGTCCGCATGCTTTGCCTGTCAACGCTCCTGGGAGCCCACGACCAGGAGAATGCAAAGCACCCGTCCGCCCTTGGACCGTACGGGACGCGCCGTCCCGCTCCTTACAGGGGGCCCAAGTGCCAGAGGGCTGCCCACAGGCCCATTGTTCCCTGGAGCCCGGAGCTTCAGCTGTTGTTGGCAGCAACAAGTATCTGATGATTTCACGGCAGAAGAGGCAGATTCCCTTGGTCAATAAGACTAGCGAGCCTTTCAAGACAGAGCGAGGGGGTAATAAAACCAGAGGCCGCTGCCTCTGCAGCGTTCCATCGCAATCCTGACGATCCGTCAAAGGGATTCTCTAGAAAGTGTCCAAGTTTATTCTTTATAGGGAACAGTGAGACGGCAACAGAAAACTCCCCAGTCCTGGAAATCTCTCTCTGGAGAGCCACCAAAGTCTGGGCCTGTTCATTTTCTGGAAGTGAAGTAAGTGGGGGGTTTTCTGTTTCATGATGTTTTGCATTCCTGGGCAAGATTTAAGTTGCACATGTATGTTGATAACCTGCATTTCTTTCCTAGTGAGAGTATTATTTGCATATTGTTTCCTAGCTCCATATATTTGCAAGTCCCTTTTTTATGTCTCTCTATGGCTGTAAGGTACCCAAGTTTTCAGTCATTATCTGGTGTTAAATAAGCCCTGGAATAGGTCAATATGGGCAGCACTTTAAAGTCCTCCTAGACAGTGAGATTTGGCTAGAAGGGGCTCTTTTAAATTTAGTGTTTAACGTATGAATTGAATGTAAAGCTGGGGGAAAGAAAAGCCCCTAGTCATAAAAAGAAGCTTGAAAAATACTTTATGGGGTGTTGGGTGAGAGGCTTGCTACCAAAAAGTAAGCAAGCTATTGCTAAAAACATCAAGAAGTCCACACTGACAATTTTTGTCATGTCAACTCAAGGAGATAGTTCCGCAGTAAGTACCCTAAAGTCACAGGATATTAAATTTAGCTTTGAGATAGACTCCACCTAACATTCTTGGGCATGATGCTTTCAGGATAAAGGCTGACCAAGACACCAAGGGCTTGTTAGGTTTATTGAAGAAGAAAACCATTTAACAATTTTTTAATTGCTATTCTTATTTTTAATATGTTATTTATTGCATAAGCGAACTCAAGCTGGTTCATGTACCCCTCCTCCCCATTTTATTCTAACAACTCTGTGAGGAACACTAGGCTGAGATGCTGTGACTGGCCCAAGGTCACCCAGTCACCTTCATGGGCGAGTGGAGATTTGAAACTGGGTCTCCCAGGTCCTAGTCCAACACTCTAACCACTATGCCACATTAGTGGTGTAACACCAGCATTAGCCAGCTTGCAACCTAGCCCCCTGATGATAATGGAGGTGTATTCTGCATTGCTGGGTTTGGAATTTGCACCACTAGGTCCAGTCTATACCCTCGCGTTCCATACACTGTAGCTGTACCGCTATGGCGATAACATGAAAAAGAGAAACTGCATGCATTACTTTGCTGTTCACAGCAAAATTAGTCTTGCAGCGCTTCGAAGACTAGGGTCCAAGCTTACCTGTGAGTAGGCCTCACCTTGAACTTAAGGCGCCACCTCTTTGTCATTTTGGCACCAACTGAAGATCTCCCTTTTCCAGCAAGCCTTTTAAGCAGAGATATTTCCCAGTCTTGCATCTGTACTGGAATTGTTTTAAAAGATGCTTTCGGATGTTTGTATCACCCGTCTGCCTGCTGCCCTGGGTTCCTTGGGAAGAGGGGGATATGTGTTGTTGTTGATGATGATGATGATGATCAAACTGGCATAGGATTGCACTGTAACAAATTTATGGTATAAGGCTGCTTTCGTTAATCAGAGGGTTGGCAAAATCCCTCCACCAGGGATGGGGAACACCTTGTGGCCCCTCCAGATGTTGTTGGGCTCTCAATTACATTGTCATTCCTGTCCACTGATCATACTGACTGGATCTGATGGAAGGTGGGAGTTCAGCAGCAGAAATAGTGGCAAGGAAATGCAAAATTCAGAGTGAATGGTCATTGCACTAATTAATGGGTAGGCAAACTAAGGCCCGGGGGCCAGATCCAGCCCAATCACCTTCTAAATCTGGCCTCAGACGGTCCGGGAATCAGCATGTTTTTACATGAGTAGAATGTGTTCTTTTATTTAAAATGCATCTCTGGGTTATTTGTGGGGCCTGCCTGTTGTTTTTACATGAGTAGAATGTGTCCTTTTATTTAAAATTCACCTCTGGGTTATTTGTGGAGCATAGGAATTTGTTCATCCCCCCCCCCCAATATAGTCCAGCCCCCAACAAGGTCTGAGGGACAGTGGACCGGCCCCCTGCTGAAAAATTTGCTGCCCCCTGGGCTAATTTCTCAACCTGGTGCCCCGTGTACTTTGTTGGAACTCCCACCAGCCCAGCCAGGATTGCCAGGGTTCAGTCAGTGGTGATGAGAGTTAAGAGTCCAACAACATCTGGAGGGCACCAGGTTGGGGAAGGCTTTGACTGACATGTCATGGGTTGTCAGGTTCTTTTGCATTTTATTAACTGTTCTCTCACTCTCTCTACACCCACGCTTCAACAATACACAGCTGCCCACGCAGGTTAACATTCCCTACCTCTGACGGAACAGATGCCATTCCACGGAATCTGATGTCCGTCAACAACATTGCGTGGGTCTAAGATGCCACAAGGCTCTTCTTTGATTTTGCACTGGAAGTATAATGAAAATACGAAAGAAATATGTCATTTCTTATATAATTTATTATTTTCACAGCCAAACCCTCAACTATAGAACAGATATATATATGTATATGCTCTATATATATGTTCTATAGTTGAGGGTTTATAATATATATATCTGTGTATAAGACTAGGTTTTCCCCCCTAAAAAATAATGTCAAAAATTAGGGGGCGTCTTATACATGGATAAATCTCCCCACATTTTCTTAAATCTGAGTCCCCCAAAACAGGGGGCATCTTATACATGGGAAAGTCATATAGATGGAAAAATACGGGGTGTGTATGTGTATATGTGTATAATATAAATAAATATAATCACTTATTTATTGTTGACATTTCAGAGCCAACCAAGCCCTCAAAAATATAATAGTTTTATTAGGCGCTTTTCATGGCAAAGCCCTCAATAATTTGGCATTTTTTTAAAGGGATAAGCCCTCATAGAACAGTAGTAATATCTGTGAAACGTGAGGTTTTTTTAATCAGTCGCTTTCCGGTCAAGCCATCAGAGAAAAAGGATAATAATGCATTTTTTTAAAGCCGCAGGAGGGGGAAAGTGACGAGGCCGAGGCGACTCCCTCCTATCCCTCCCCCGCCCCTCCGTGTGGGCGTGGCCGAGGGGGACACGTGAACATCTCCCCTCGGTGGGCGTGGCCCCCCTTCCCAGCCCAGCCCGCCCATTGGCTCGCCCTAACAACGGCGACCGGCTGAGGGCGGGGGAGCGAAAGGGAAAGGAAGCCGCCGCCGTCCCCGCTTTAAACGCCTCCGGGCGGAAAACGCAGCCTACGCGCTCGGGTTCCGGAGCGAAGGCGGGGGGCGCGCGAGAGCGGCGGGACGCTCCGGAGTGGCGCACACGCGCAGAAAGCGACTGAGAGAGAAGCGACTGAGGGAAAGAGAGAGAGAGAGAGAGAGAAAGGCACATATCTCCACACCCGCCTGACTTTTTTAAATTTTGTAACTGAATTTCGCAGCGTTTAACCCCCCCCGCCCGCGCTTTCTTCCGTCTCCGGCGGCTGAGGAGACCCGTGAGGGGACCGTAGGGCGGCCTGGGCTGAGTCTCCGCCCTTCGTCCTCCCTCGGCCGGTTGGGGGGGGGGGACGAGGTTCCCTCAAAAGAAGACTTTCCACACCTTCCCCCTCAGAGCCGGCGGCGGCCCTGCGAGAGGAGTTTGGGGATGGCGGCGGCGGCGGCGGCGGACGACGACAAGGGTAAGCGGCGCTCGCCTCAGACTGAGGGCGGCCGAGGGGAGACGAGCGCCCTCCCTCTCCCCCTCAGAACTTTCTCGCGCGCTCTGGCCACGCCCCTTCCGAACCCCCGCCCCCCCTCGCGAACGCGGCCCCCTCCCCTCCCCCCATCGCTCTCAATATCACGCCACACCTGGCGCCCCTCCCCTTCGGAACGCCCGAGGGAACGGTCGCTCTCGCCACGCCCACCGCCCGCCCCTCCCTCGGGATCGCTCGCGGCCACGCCCCCTCGTAGAACGGTTTTGTAGCTCCTCCCTTTTTTCGGAGTTGATCTTTCTCTTGGCCCCTCCCCTTTAAAATGGAGGGGCGGAGTTCTATCTTGCTCCGCCCACTCTCTTGCTCCCCTACCTCTCTACCTGTTCCATCTCCCTAAGGCGGTGGTGGCCAAACTTTTTTCAAAGAGGGCCGGATTTGATGAAGTGAAGGGCCGTAAGGGCCGACCAAAGTTGTTAACCTTTTTTAAGGATGGAAGTTATTGAGGGGTGTTTTTTTTAGGATTTTACCCCAGGAAATAAACTGCCAAAGGGGCCGGATTAGGCCCCCAAAGCAGACTTTGGACAGGCCTGCCCTAAAGTTATCTGGGCGTTGTTACTTTTATTGTTAATTCTCAACCTCTGTGGCTCCTCCCATTTGTGCTGGCTCCTCCCTCAATCTCCCCTAGCCCCTCCCCTTTAGAACCTTCGGGCTCCCTTAACCCCGCCCCAATTTCATAAAGCTCTGCCTTCCTGTGTGATCTTGTTCCGCCCCATATGAGCTACCCTAAAACCTCATCCTCTTGCCCCAGGTAGCTCCTCATCCCCACTCTCCTGCTTTCCCCATCCTCTCTCCCAGCAGTGCTCTCCATTCCCTTTCCTGTGCCCATCTTAATTCAATCTTCTCTCTCCTCCTTCCACCTTAGAAGCCCCCACCCCAAACTCATGGTTTCTTAGCTTGAAGAACCACCCAGCCTTCCTGATCTATTGGGTCCCGCAGCTTTCAAGGTCTGCGTACGCCATGTGGCCTTTTCTCAAAACTTTCCTGCATGGTTTTTATCTTAGTCACTTTCATTGATTTCTACCATTGATTATCTATCGCTTAATGACAACGGTCTCCAAGTGCTTGTCAATAAAAATGGGTTAAAATAATGAAATGAGAGCTCAGTTTAAATGCCTGCTGGAAGAAAACAAAGTTCAGCAGGGAAGGGGGCCTTTCTGACCTCAACTGGAAGGGAGTTCCATAAAATTGGTTCTTGAAATTCTCTCCCTCCCTAGATCCTTCCTCTTCCTCCTCCTCCTGGCTTAAACCCTGCAGGCTTGATTCTCTGCCCCTCTTTGGGATCCTTCCGGGTACCCCTTCCCCCACAGCCCCCCCCCCCACTTTCCCATCATCCTTCTGCCTTGCAGCTTTGCCTCTCTTGTGGACACATCCTTGTTTTTGCCTGTTTTGTCACCCCTTCAGCCGCAAGTCTCCTTTGTTTTCACTCTTACTGGAGAAGCCGGTGTTGTGGTAACCTCTAAACACTTGTCCTCAACCCCCTGGGGCGCTTCTTAACTTCCCTTGTTCATAAAGGCTTGGCTTGGCGCCTCGAGCTTTGATGCAAGATTTAATTTGTGCCTTTAATTGGCGGCACTGAAAACTTTCCCTTTCAGACCGGCCCACGGTGATGATGAGAAGGGAGGCTGCGATGGGGAGGTGACTCCCCGCTCCTCTCTTTCAGGATTGCATTTTAGCCGAGGTCGGAGGAGAGAGTGTTCGTGGGCGGGTGGGTTTTCTGCTCTTGGTTCAGCGACACCTTTTTCCCGATGGTGTGCGATAAAAGATATAAAAAAAGCCATTGCAATTGTTCTCGTGACGCCGGACTAGCGCTAAGTTAATATTTATCAAGCTGCTCTCTAACTGTAAGCGCCGGGAATGCGCATCAGATGTTTTTGTGATCCTGGGCCAGACCTGTTGACTTGGAAATTGCAGCGCAAACAGAAATGTTAGCAGTTGCTAATGACAGAGGGCCTGTGTCATCCCCATATATTTGTAATTGATAGGGGTAGCCGGAGCCCACGTTAAGGCATTCCTGGCCTGGTGTCTTTGCTCCTCTGCACTAACTCGCCACTGGTGTGCTTTGTACATTATTAGGAAGTGCCGTCTCTGTTATCTGGTGCCTGGAATGCTGGGTTTTGGATAGCGGAGAGCAGCCTGATCAAATTGCTCCGCCCCCGAGCTGCGGAAAGCCTGGGGGAAGCCCCATCTCTGAGCTCGGAGGAGGGACGTGCATTTTAAGGACCACGACTTGATAGTAGAGCATCAGCTTTGCATGCAGAATGCTGCAGGTTAAACATAAGAACAGCCTGCTGGATCAGGCCAAAGGGGACCCATCTAGTCCAGCATCCTGTTCTCACAGGTGCCACCAGATGCCTGTGCGAAAAACCCAAAGGAAGGATCCGAACCCAAGAGCCCTCTCCCCTCCAGTGGCTTCCAGCAACTGGTATTCAGAAGCACTGTTTTCTCCACATACGGAGGCAGAGCAAAGTCACAGTGTGGGTAGTAGCCATTGATGAGCCTGTCCTCCGCCAATTTGTCCATACAAGTTAGAGGCCATCACTGCCTCCTGTGGGAGCAATTCTATAGTTTAAATCTTCTGCGTGAAGGAGGACTTCCTTCTATCTGCCCCGAATCTTCCAGCATTCAATCCTGGGCATCTCTAGGTAGGGCTTGGTGAGAGGCCTCAGTTGGCGAGAGAACCTCCATTGGCTCCCAGTACGTTTCTGAGCACAATTCAAAGTATTGGTGCTGACCTTGAAAGCCCTAAATGGCCTCAGCCCAGTATACTTGAAGGAGCGTCTCCACCCGCATCATTCTGCCTGGACACTGAGGTCCAGCTCCAAGGGCCTTCTGGGGGTTCCCTCGCTGCAAGAAGCCAAGTTACAGGGAACCAGGCAGAGGGCCTTCTCGGTAGTGTCACCTGCCCTGTGGAACGCCCTCCCACCAGATGTCAAAGAGAAGAACAACTACCAGATTTTTAGAAGACATCTGAAGGCAGTCCTGTTTAGGGAAGCTTTTAATGTTTAATAGATTATTGTATTTTAATATTCCGTTGGAAGCCGCCCAGAGTGGCTGGAGAAACCCAGCCAGATGGGCGGGGTATAAATAATAAATTATTATTATTATTATTTCAAAACCCCGGGGAGCGTCTGCCAAATGCGGAGCTCGATGGACCAAGGGACTGACTCTGTATATGGCAGCTTTCTGTGTTCTTCCCTATCTGTTGCATCTAAAGTGGAAAGAGAAACGTTTCCCTCCCTTATAGCACTAGAACTTGTGGACATCCAGTGAAGCTGAATGCTGGGAGATTCAGGGCAGATAAAAGAAAGGACTTAATCATGCACAGCATCGTTAAACTCTGGAACTCCCTCCCACAGCAGGCAGTGATGGCCACCAACTTGGATGGCTTCAAAGGAGGATTGGACAAATTTCATGGAGGGGGAGAGGGCTGCTGAGGGCTTCTAGCCACAATGGCTGTGCTCTGCGTCCACGGCCAGAGGCCGCAATGTTTCTGAATATCAGTGGCTGGAAACTAGAGGACTCTTGTACTCTTGTACTGGTTTTCTGGAAGAGGCATCTGTTTGGCCACTGTGAGAACAGGATGCTGGGCTAGGTGAACCCCATTGGCCTGATCCAGCGCCAGGGCTCTTATGCTTCCAGCCATGGGGAGTTACACAACATGGTCCTTTCCTGAACGCACCTTTGGTGTGGTGCATGAGCTCCTTTCTAGGTGCTGTTTGCAATTTAGCATTGTACAGTGGTACCTTGGGTTAAGAACTTAATTCGTTCCGAAGGTCCATTCTTAACCTGAAACTGTTCTTAACCTGAAGCACCACTTTAGCTAATGGGGCCTCCTGCTGCCGCCGTGCCGCTGCTGCGCGATTTCTGTTCTTATCCTGAAGCAAAGTTCTTAACCCGAGGTACTATTTCTGGGTTAGCGGAGTCTGTAACCTGAAGCGTCTGTAACCTGAAGCGTCTGTAACCCAAGGTACCACTGTAGTGGTAAAAGGCTCACATGGCAGATCCTACACCGTGTGTGTGTGTGTGGATCTAGTTGTTGCCATTCCTTAAACGTTGGTTCTGACCTTACTTTCCTGTGTTTGAGATGTGAATCCCTACGCAAGTGAAAACATCAGAAGGAAGGCGCTGGTCGCCGAGGTAGAAAACATTTTCTGAACCCACAGCTGTTCCTGACTCTGGGTGCATGCTTGCAGAGGTGGATGTCACTGTGACAGTTGCTAAAGTGTTGGTCCTGGGAGACTGGGGTTCAAATCTCCAGCCAGCCAGAAAGCTCACCTTTGACCGGTTATGGTCTCTTTCTCTGCATAACCGGCTGCGCTGGGTTGTTGTGAATATAATATGGGGAAGTGCAGGAAAACCAGGGGTGGAGAGTCTCAGGCAGTGCAATCCTCTAGGCCTCCTAATTGCCTTTGTAACTCTCCAGGTCTTACATACCCTCCATGGACACACCCCAATTTTTTTACCTGGCTTATACTCTGATAGTGCTTTTTTGACTCCTGGGATGGAATATAGAGAGGTGTGTATGAGTTCCTGCAGACAAAGGTAAAATTCACATTCACTACTCCACCCACTTTTGTTTCTCGTCACCCACCACCATCATGTGGCCCTAGGCAGCATGCCCCAGAGGATAATTCGGCCCTCAGAGATGCTTTTGCAGGCATGGTTTGGCTGGCTGTTCCCCAGGTTGCAGGGTCTTGAAGTATGCACGTGTTTTGGGGGGTGATGTGCGGGCAAGTAGGGTCTTGTCCCCTGTGGGTTTTGATTTGGCTTCTTGCAAAGGCCAGGTGGTTTGTTTGTTTTTTTGCCAGCTCTTCTCTGTGACCTTGGCTAGCTGCTGCATTTGGGCAAATGTCTCTCTTGGGCATTCAATTAAAAAAAATATGTCCGCAGTTGAGCAGGTTTATGCAGGAGATGCATTTGTTCCGGTTCTGCTGATGTGCAGAACGTGGCCTCTCGC